AAGTGTTCCTTGTTTGAGTCCACTTGCCAGAGAGAGACCCAGACTTCTTTGGACAACAAACCAGACATCCCTGAAGGACAGCTCCCTGGTGTCCTCTGCATCTCCCAAGGGAGCAGAATTCCTTGAGGCAAGAATAGAATAGTGATTGCCATGAGAACAGGATTTCAGAATTAACCCATTACAGGGCAGCTGAATTCTGAACTCAATTCAGAGACAGAGAAGCACAATTTAAGCAGTTACAGGACAAAATCAATTGTCAATAGGATTAAGAAGAAAATGATACAGGATCAATTTAAATCTCACATTGGAGGGGAGAAGAGGAAGCTCAAGAGAGTCATAGATGTAAGTGGAGCCTTCCTCCCTTGAATTTTGTGGCCATGCCCTCCCCTGGACACCAAGGCCAGCCCCCTTCTTCCCCATCTCCCTCTCTATTCCTCCTTATTCTGCTGACTCTAATGCCCTTTACCTACTTAGAAAGTGGGGCCCAAAGGTTTTTGTGTCTGGGAGAGAATCCTAGCTTCAGGGCAAAAAGCGTCTTTCTGCTCCTTAGGAGAACTGAAGGGGTGTATTGGGGGGTGGGGCATAGCAGTGGAATAGTCATCAACCCTGGTGAACAGAAAGGAGTAAAATTCAGTGTCTAGAGCAGAGTTCAGATTATTGGTGTGATTAGCTTATTTACCCTTGTTAATGCTCTCTCTCTCTCTCTTTCTTTCACACACACACACACACACACACACACACAAACACAGACATAATATTGTCCTTTATAAACCAGGTGGCATTCCATAATTTCTTGGTGTTTACTGTTCCTGATCTTCTCAGTATATGACTGGAGGTGAGGAATGAACATAAAAAAAGAAAAGGTGTCCAAAGGGCTAAGAATTCCCCACCCCACACGCACCCCAGATGGTCTTGGCTGCCAGCTGACAGACAGCCCTATCATGCCACACATCTGTTGGGAGACTGACTTCTGAACTGTGGAGAGAATGATGCAAGAAGAGGAGAGGTGTGGGTTTTATGTGGGGAAGCTCAGGGGCCACCTTGCTGCCCACCACCCATTTGGGGAGAAGCTGACACATTCCCATTTCCCTTAATTTCCAGGGCCACGTATCCTTAGAGAGAACTCAGAGTGGACTCCATGGAGGCAGCAGGGTGTTTAGCCTAAGCTAATCTGTGGTGATGTCCCCAGTGAGTGTATTTTTCCTAGTTATTGCTGATTTCCTTTCAAATAATAAGTGTTTATGGTGGAGTGGGAATTCAACTGTCAGATTAAGTTAACTGGGGCTGGGGCAGAACTACTCCTCTTCTCCTCCCTGTGGAAGGGGGCTTTTATCCTGAATCATAAAAAGATTCCTAGCCCTAGGTGTCAAATATTTGATGGGTAATATGTAGGTATAATTCCAGCCTGATATTCCTGGCAAGGGAGTGAGCAGCCACTTCCTCTTCTTACTACCCAACAAAGGTGGACCTCAAGTCTCTTCTGAGATGAGATCTCCAGATCTATCCATAGATCCACTTATCAAGCTAGCTACCCAGCTTTTGATATACAGTCTTTACTGCAAGTGGGAATTTGTCTAATACCTAGCTTGTTGTCTGTTTAACCAACTTTCAGGTTGACAGCAATGGTGCTGTGACATCGGATTGGAACTGAAGAAGTAGGAGAAAACACCCTACCCTAGCAGTGCTAGTGGCTCTGGCACTTCAGGATCCATTTTTTCCTGGAGTCCTAACCTTGATGGGGTCTGGTAAGTTTCTCCTATTCCCATCATCCAAGGACCTCCCACTTGTTTGGGTTGAAGTCCAAAAGAAAATTCCCTTTAAGCTAGCTCTGGGGTCGGGGATCAAGTCGAGGTTCAGAAACTCCAGCTACTGTATCAGGTCCCCTCTGGTAAGTATCGATCTAGGAAAATTGACTATGGCTCACTCAGAAACTAAAACTAAAAATCCAGCTAACAAGACTGCCGCCTCTTATATGTCAAGTCATTGCCAATCTGGTGATCACAAGTACTGCTAGCACTGATGTCAGTTAACTAAAGATAACCCCAAATTACGTTGGCCACAATGGGGTTCTTTCGACCTGTCAAAGTTACTTTATCTTTAAACCTAATCAAGTTTAAAGGCCAACAAAACATCTAGCCAGAAGTGGGAATGTTTTCACCATTGAGTTGCTGAGATGGCAGAGGGAGAAGGAAAGGCAGAAGCCTCTTCCCTTAAGGCTCACAAAGACACTTCAGCACTTTTTCCCAGGCTCCGAATAATCCCCTTCCCCCTCCCCTTTTCCCTTAAAGGCTATGGTCCTGACGGGGACTCAGATCCCTGAACTTAATTTAAATCTGCAATCTGAGGAACACTCTGAGGAAGGCTCACAGGATCCAGTTACACTATCAGGTCTTGGATCCTTGCAAATTCCCAAACCCCCTTCTTCAGAATAATCATAATAGCCAATTCATGTTGGGGGTTTTCTAACAAGCCTGTAATTTCCTCTCTTTCTATCATTAAGTGCACACTATGTCACTATGTATTGTATTAGTTCTGTCATTTTGTCTGTCAGTATGTGTCTCTGTATCTATTACCTTGTAAGATTTTAAAGGCAGCCAGAGACTTCTAAGGGCTGCAGCTAGGGAAACAACAAACCTATAAAACTTCTTTTCTTGTGGGTCCAGGCCTGGCGAGCCTAGACCTACAGTGAAAAGTTAGATACAGATAAAGACATCTTAGCAGATTCCGGAGGTTTTGAGATTAATCATTAAGAAGTTGGGAAATTGGTCATTTTGGGATTGTTGGAGAAAACTCTTGAGACTGGGGGTAATTCCAGGAGCTCACCCTCTGCTAAAACACCTCCTCCCAATCCTGATTCCTCAGCATTCCCCACTCCCTCCTCAGAGATAAGTATTTCAGTATGGGGATTGTAAAAGAAAAGAAAGTGGTGAAGAATCTTGGGAAAAATTTAGATCAGCCTTCCCCATCTGGCAAAAGGAGGGGAGGGGCAGCTATCACAGACGAGCAGGGGTCCTAACGGCCCAGTGGTCCTGCGCACTTTGCAGCCCATCCCCTAGCCAAGGCCTGGGAGTGTCATCCAGGTTCAATACATTCTGCCCACCCTCCCCCAGCAGCTGCAAAAGGCACCAGCCTCAGTAAATTATGCAGTTGTGGGGAGGGAAGAGTTGGACAGGTCAAAACTATAATGAGATTCCCTAAGCCCTGCCACCAAGAATCATCACCACTGGGAAGGCCCTGCATCAGCCACCCCAGGCCCTGGAAGGCCTGGCAACAGCATTATGAGGTGAGAAGCCAACTTCTACTCTTGGTAAGCCCCATGCTTCTCTGTTTCAGTTTTGGAATTTATGGCAAGTTATTTTATCTCTGTTTGCCCTGTTTCCTGATTTGTAAAGGGAAAAATAATAATGGTTGTGGTTATGGGATCAAAATGATATAATGATTGTAAAGTGCTTAAAACAACGACTGGCATATGTTAGACAACATTATTATTATCTCCCTAATTTAATGTAATTGTTCCATACCTGATAACTTTGAAGTGGTTTTTAAATACCAGGAGTACTAAGATCAATAATTCCTGTATGTGATAATCTGGAAATACAACAGATTTCATCTGAAGTTTATTGTTTATGTTACTACTACTTTTCTAAATTATATTGTATTTCTAAAACTCTCTTAGATTGTAAAATTTGAGAGACCATTGTGAGGTAGAAATGGCGCATATGGTTTGGTCTTTTAAAAGGATGTGATAAAATTGGATAATTTGAGAATTGTTACCATTTAATGAGGTATATTTGGTTATAAGCAGGTAATTGATTGGTTCTGTTTCATGTTTTAAATACATAATATTTGCTTATGGTATGGCTATATTTCTGAGATTTTTTTATAGGGTGTGATCTGGTAAACAAATTGTTATCAGCTATGTTGTTGAAAAAGCAATTTCTCTTATAATCTAGAGATGTTAGATCAAGAATTCCCCCCCCCCAAAAGTAATAGGGGAGAATGAATGGGTTAGAATGAACTTCCAAGTTTTATTTACCTTTAAGAGGAAGTTTCACCTAAAATTCTTATCAAGTCTGTGTAAAGGTTTCCTGTGTTGTAGAATTCCTGAGCAAATGAGAATCCTAGGGATATGTTAATTTGGAGATTTATGGACTACCACATTCACTATCTATCTGAGATTCCAGAATGTAATAGGTTTTTCTAATTTCTAGTGATATATTTAAAGACAAAAGAAAAGATACCGAGTAAATTTTAAAGGCTTGATAATATTTGTTATTGTGATAAGGCTAATTTAAATGGGTATGTTCTTCATGCATTATAAAAACTGAATTTTTTCTTCATTACAAACACCTTTTTGACTAAGGAGCTTTGTGATATCTGGGAATTCTGTAATAACTAGGAATTTAGTTTGTTACAGTACTTTGGGAGTTTATTTATGTTGCCTAAGGACATCTGACATCAACTTAGTTTTAATGAATTCCAATTGTAAAGGTTTATTTTTACTTTAAGGTGGAAAAGAAAGATATCTATCACTTTAAACATTTCCAATTAATGTTCTTCATATAAATTTAGTGATTCTTCTTCTTAACATCAGGATAAATTTTAAACTGTTTTTAAAGAAGAGAAATACTTTTAGAAGAAATGTCTTGTTCAATTTTTTTTTGAAGGCCTACTAAATTTTCAGTTGCAAGATAACTTATTGCTAACTTATTGTAATGAGCTGTAAAGCAAAAGAGATCTTGCTGTTTTGATCTGACTCTGTAGTCATTCCATGGCCTAAGCAAGAGTTAAATTAGTGTTTGAACTTATATGTATAAGATTCAAATCCTGAAGTATCTCATTCTTCCAGAGTGAGTATAATTAGAGAATAAATAACCTTGTGAACAAGGACATAAATCCATCAACTTGTGAGGTTAGTTAGGAACCTCTTTGCTTTGTTTAAAATGGGATAGGATTCCAGTACAGATAGTTCTGTTAATGAAGAGTGGTAACTTATGAGCTCTTTTGTGTTAACTAAATGGGAAATCTAATATTATTTTTAACCTGGAAGTAGAACATGTGCAGAAGTTTATACAAACTTCTGAAGACTCACCTTAAGATCTTCCCATTGTTTAAAGGAATTATGAGAGCAGTAGTATTTTCCTGTGATCAGTCTCTTACTGTTACCAATGTGAGATTAAATTCTTATTATACGTGACTTTATGGTACAGCAATTTACTACTGTTTTGAGCTTTGATTACCAGGATAATTGTCTGAGTTGTCATGAAGGCAATAGTAGAATGGCATGTGCTGCAGGCTGAGAACTACTAAAGGTGGATGTCTGTGCCTGGGAAGAGTTTTGAGGACGACCTTGGACACAGCCTAGGTAGGATCTTCCTGACTCTATTTCCCAATTGTGCTATTTCCTTTCTGAGAAGGAAAAATTCCCCACCTGATTAATCCTGGGCCCTGCTTTTAACATCAAGTGACTACATGATTGGCTATCAGATATGACTCATGCCAGAAATCAAATAGAGCTAAGGAAGTTCTTTCCTTCTGATATGATATATGACATTGTCCCTCTTTTTCTTTTATAGCAAATTTCTATAATCAAGAAGCTCTGTAAGTATAGTGCTAACTTTATTAAATAATAGATGGATACTGGAATATCTCTGAGTTACCATAATAGGATGCAAGTATGAATAGCTTACAATTTTAATTTACATTCATGACCAAATAATAATAATGTAGGGATAACATCCTCCTAAGGAGGAAATGTTTAGACAAAGTAATAAGACAAAGATGTAATGTGACAGATGTCTAATTAAATAGGGTAGCAAATTTTGAGAAAAGCAACAGGATTAGACTGATTCCTCTAAGAATTATATACAGATGTATATGATTGACTTCCAAAATGTATCTGTCATTGAAATCCAAGCTTTAAGCATGTTTTGGTAAGAAGATCTCAAATTTGGATTTTTACACCAAAAATTGTATAGGTTAGTGGTAAAAGTAAGTGAAACTACTTCTCCTTTATTCAAGTTCCTGTCTGATAATTTTAAAAGGCAGGAGAGCTCATTTTATGCTTGGACCCTCACATTTTAAAAGATTCTTATACCAGGTACAGGATTTAGATAAGAACAGAAGCAGCAGATGATATATAAACTGTAGTTTCAAAAATGGAGAACCAAATTTAAGTGATTATACTAATTTATACTAAATCAGAATTATCTGGGAACTTCTAGATCTAAATCAGAGAAGTAGAACTCCCTTTTAGAACTGCCTAAGAATAAAACCTTTTGTACATGAGCAAGGGACTTAATGTTAGTTAGCATTGGTAATAATGATTGTATTGATTTGTATGTTTCATGTTTAAGGTTTTCTTCGTTATCTTGGTGACATGTAAATCTCCCTTCTCAAAACTAGTCTATTGTGAACTCTCTGACTAGTTTAACCTGTACCTGACTTGGTGTAATTATGCAATTTTGGGAATTATGAGAAAACTTTGTTGTATTGTTTGAACCTAGCCCTGTGTGGCTGGGAAACTGAACCATCTCTGTGTGCCTTTAACTAAGGACTCACGTTATGCTGTTTTCTCTCATTTATCACCTTACACATCTTCTAAGAGCCCCTATCAGGTCTATGTGACTACTCCCATAGCTGCCAACTTCTGGATGTGGACTCCAGGATCATCTGAAGATGCCTGCTCCAAGTGGACACCTCTTCCCACCCCCTGAGGAAGAAGAAGGTTTTCCCCACACCTTTCTTGGTCTACAGGTGAAGCCTTCAGCTTATCTTTGACCAAAAGGAGGAAATGATAATCATTGAAGATCAATTGAGCCCCAGTAAGGGCCAAAAACCTGAATTAATCTTTTCTGAGAGAACGAATGCCCCTTCCTGTGTCAGCAACTTCAGGACCAGACACAATGGGACTTTTCTTATCTTGGTATCCTAAAGACATATGTTATGTAGGGGAAACACAGATATCCTGGATCTATAATTTCAACTGACACTTTGACATTCTCCTATTTTATTGTATTTACAACCTATTCAACTTCCTTTCCTATGCTGTATGTTAAAAAACATATGGAGGCTGTATTTTTTTTTTTGAGTAACACAGACATCCTGAGTCAGGGTTTAAATGTCCTCCTAAAATTGCTTGAGTCAGTCAGAGTTAAAGCTCTGATTCCATGTACATGCGCTAACTTAAGGGAATAAAACAATATGAATTTACTTATCACCTACCTTGTTGTCTCTTTAACCAACTTTCAGGTTGACAATACATATATACATACATACATACATACATATATACATATATACATATATGGACAGAGAGACAGAGACAGAGTCATGTTAATGATAAAAGAACCACAGACAACCTGGATCTATAATTTCAATCGACACTTTGACACTTATCTTATTGTATTTGCAATCTATCCTATTAAGAAATTCCTTTCTCATATTATGGTTGACACATATGGAGACTATAATTTTGGCTGACACAGGCATCTTGAGTTGGGATTGCTCTACGTGTGTAAAGGGTCTCCCCTCAGCTTGTTTACTTCTGAGTCAAGATTATTTTCTCCCAAGCAATACATGATTCCCTGGCCTAATGAGAGTAAATAAGTAATATTTAGACAGAAGAGATAAAAACACGGATGACAACGCAGCAGCCTTTGCTACCATGTTGTAGTACACCTAAGTGGATAAGAGAAAGAAAATATGGGGGGGGGGCAGAGCCAAGATGGTGGAGTAAAAGCAGTGACTTGCTTGAGTTCTCCCCCAAACCCCTTTAAATACCTGTAAAAATGATTCTAAACAAATTCCAGAGCAGTAGAACCCACAAAAAGACAAAATGAAATAAATTTCCAGCCCAAGACAGCCTAGATGGTTGATGAGAAAAGTCTGCTATGCAGGGCTAGGAGAGGAGCACAGTGCAGTATGGGCCATGCCAGCAAATATTGGGCCCCAGTAAACCCAGAGCAGGCCTTCAGAGACTGAATCATGGGCAGCTGTGGTGGTTTCCAGACTTCTCAACCCACAAACACCAAAGACAACTTAGAAGGTCAGTAAGAAAGGTCTGCCAGATCTGGGTGAGAGAAGAGCGTGGGTCAGGCCCCAGCCCTGGTGCAGCCCCATGGCCACAGTGGCTGTTTCCTGAGCTCTTGGACCACAGACAGTAAGGGATCAAGCAGCTGATCAGATGCAGGGATCTCTTTGCTGGCACTGAGGCAGGATTCTCTTGCTTTGCCCATCCTTGGATTTGAGTGGCAGTCCTGTGGAGAGGAGCAGCACTGGTATGGTGGAGCTGGGAGTGGGGCAACGGAGAGGGTTCTCAGTTCCAAGGCAGAAAAGAGTGCTTGTGGTCACTCACAGACCAGAGCATAGACCAGGAAATGAGTAAATACCTCTCCTTTGATCATATCACCTTGGAAGAACTGAAAATTTCCAGGTCCCTAGAAGTACCTCTGAAAGCAGCTGCACAAAACCCCTAAGCTTCGGACAGTACACCCTCCAAACTGAAAGCAGATACCTACCTTAACAAAGAGTTTAAAAGTCAAGTAATTGGCTGGAAACATGAGCAGGCAGAGGAAGAAAACTCAGAAGAACCTACAACCAGAAGAAGACAACAAAGTCAAAGCTCCTACATCCAAATCCTCCAAGAAAAATATGAATTGGTCCCAGACCACAGAAGAGGTCAAAAAGGATTTTGACAAGCAAGTAAGAGAAGTAAGCAAGTAAGAGAAGTAAGTAAGAGGAAAAACTGAGAATGATGCAAGAAAATCATGAAAAATGAGTCAACAGCTTGATAAAGGAAACCCAAAAAAATACTGAAGAAAGTAACACCTTAAAAAAATAGACTAACCAAAATGCAAAAGAGGTCCAAAAAGCCAATGAGGAGAAGAATGCCTTAAAAAGCAGAATTGGCCAAATGGAAAAGGAAGTCCAAGAGCTCACTGAAGAAAACAATTCCTTAAAAGTTAGAATGAAGTAAATGGAAGCTAATGACTTTATAAGAAATCAAGACATCGTAAAACAAAACCAAAAGAATGAGAAAAATAGAAGACAATGTGAAATATCTCATTGAAAAAACAACTATCCTGGAAAATAGGTCCAGGAGAGATAATTTAAAAATTAATGGACTATCTGATTGATCAAAAGAAGAGCCTAGGCATCATCTTTCAAGAAATTATCAAGGAAAACCGCCCTGATATTTTAAAACCAAAGGGCAAAATAGAAATGGAAAGAATCCACCGATCGCCTCCTGAAAGAGATACCCAAAAGAAAACTCCTAGGAATATTGTAGCCAAATTCCAGAATTGCCAGGTCAAGAAAATATTGCAAGCAGCCAGAAAGAAACAATTCAAGTATTGTGGAAACACAAGATTTAGCAGCTTCTTCATTAACAGACCACAGGGCTTGGAATATAATATGCTGGAGGGCAAAGGAGATAGGATTACAACCAAGAATCACCTACCCAGCAAAACTGAGCATAATCCTTCAGGGGAAAAAGTGGACATTCAGTGAAATAGAGGACTTTCACGCATTCTTGATGAAAAGACCAGAGCTGAATAGAAAATTTGACTTTCAAATACAAGATTCAAGAGAAACATGAAGAGGTAAACAGGAAAGAGAAATTGTAAGAGATGTACTAAGGTTGAACTATTTACATTCCTGCATGGAAAGATGATATTTGTAACTCATGAGACCTTTGTCAGTACTAGGGTAGTTGGAGGGTAAAAATTATATGTACGTATGTATATATATATATATATATATATATGTATATATATATATAGAGAGAGAGAGAGAGACAGAGAGAGAGAGAGAGACAGAGACAGAGACAGAGACAGAGAAGGCAGAGGGGTAAGTTGAAGATGAAAGGGTGATATCTGGAGAATAAAATTAAGGGGTGAGAGAGGATTATACAGAGAGAAGAAAGGGAGAAGTAGAATGAGGTAAATTATTTCACATAAAACAGACAAGAAAAGGCTTTTACAGTGGAGGGGAAATGGGGGAAGGCGAGAGGGAATGAGTGAATCTTATTGTCATCAAATTTGGCTTAAGGAGAGAATAATACACACACTCAATTCGGTATGTAAATCTATCTTACTCTACAGGAAAATAGAGTGGAAAGGGAACAAGAGAGCAGGAGGATGATAGAGGGGAGGGCAGAGTGGGGGAGGGGGTAATCAGAAGCAAACACTTCTAAGAGGGACAGGATCAAAAGAGAGAATAGAATAAATGGGGAGTGGGATAGGATTAAGGCAAACATACTTATTTTTCACAACATGACTACTATGGAAGTGTTTTGTATGACTACACATGTATAACTTGTATCAAGTTGCTTGCTTTCTCAATAAGGGTGGGTGGGGAGGGAGGAAGGGAGAAAATTTGGAACCAAAAGTTTTAAAAACCAAAGTTAAAAAAAAATTGTTTTCACATGCAACTGGGAAATAAGATATACAGGAAATGGGGTATAGAAATCTATCCTACCCTACAGGAAAACTGAAGGGGAATGGGATAAGAGAAGTGGGACAGAGATGGAAGGGAGGGCAGATTAGAAGGGGTATTCAGAATGTATGCCATCTTGAGGTGGGGGGAGGGACGAGATGGGTAGAAAATTTGAAACTCAAAATCTTGTGGAAGTGAATGCTGAAAACTAAAAATAAATAAATAAATAAATAAATAAATAATAAAAAAACCCAATACCTTCTATATCTTAACCACGTGGTTAATGAGTCTCTGCCTGAGGACCTCCAAGGAAGGGGAAGCTAGGACTTCCAGGGAAGTGCCATTGCACTTCCAGCAGACCTGATTCCTAGGTGAAATCGGCCTGTCTGCAATATTCACTCAGGTCCTACTTGTGCCCTCTTGGATTCACCTAAACAATCCTTCAAATACTCGAAGACAACTATCTTCTCCCCTCAGTATCTTCTCTTCTCCTAGGGAAACATCCCTAAGTCCTTTACCCAATCCTCCATAGCAAGTTCTCTGATCCTCTCCCCATTCTGGTCCTTGTCTTCTGAACACATTCCTCTGGATACACTGTCCATACCTTTTCTAAAATGCGGTGCCCCAGAATGAACATAATCCTCCAGATGGGGCCTGGGCAAGGCAAGATCTTGCAGAACTACTGCTTAAAGGAGTCTGGGGTGCAGGGATGGGAGAGAACACTGAATATTCTGAGAGAGGACAGAGAGAGAAGAGCTGAGGAGGCTGCATCGTAGTCTTTCACAGGGGAGGTGTCGCTGAAAGGATGGAAAAAATCTCAGGACTTGTCCACATTTTCCATATAAAAACTGGTGCACCAGAGAGCTGTGCTGTGGAGAAGGGAAGCAAGTGGAAAATGACAAGGGTTGAGGGGTTTTAGGAGAAATTTTTTAAGCTCCATTGGGATCAAAAGAAGAAAGATGGGAGAGGACTTGGTCTGAAGGGTCTGGTGGCAGAAAATGATAAAGACCAGAATTATTCAGCTCTTTCCCTGCCTTTCCACACAGTGCCGACTCCAACATGCTTTGAAGGGTTCAGGTGGTCTTCCCCAGAGCAGGCCAATTCAGGACTGTCTCTAGACCAGCCTGGGGTTGGGGAAAGAGGATTGAGTTTGCAATGATAGAACGGAGGTGCAAATCTCAATTTTGTTACTTCTTATCTTTATGAGCTTGGAAAAACCTCTGAACATCGTTGGCCTTCAGTTTCCTGCTCTGTAAAATGAAGGAGATTATCTCTAAGATCCTTTCCAGGGGTAACCCTCTCTTTAAAATTTGGAGTGTAATAGTTTCCTAGATGGGGTGATGAGACAAGAAAGAGGGA